GGACATTGAAAGTTTCTTAGAGATGATCAATGTGGTCTACTGCTACGAGACTTTTCACCAGCATGTCATCTACGTACACCTCCATCGTTCGCCTGATCTGAGACTGGAACATCTTGTTCACCAACCGTTGGTAGGTTGTTCTTGCGTTCTTTAGTTCGAAGGGCATGACCCTGTAGCAGTAGGTTCCCTTCGGAGTGATGAATAATGTCTTCTCTTGGTCTGGGGGTACATGCTAATTTGTTTATACCCAGAGTAAGCATCCAAGAAGGTGAGCAACTCATGCCTCGCAGTAGCGTCGATGAAGAGGTTGATCCATGGCAGCGGGTAGTTGTCTTTTGGGCACGCCTTGTTGAATTATGTGAAGTCGACGTAGAGGCACCACTTCCTATTAGCTTTAGTGAACGTCACCATGTTGGAGAGCCACTTAGGATATTTTACTTCTCTGATGGCCCCGTTGTCTATTAGCTTTTCCACCTCCTTGTCCATAGCTTGGGCCCTTTCAGTGGAGGCCCCCCTTAGCTTTTGGCAAATAAGCTTGTGGCGTGGATTAACATTGAGATGGTGTGTGGTTACTTCTGGGTCGTTGCCCTCAAGGTCTGTATGTGACTATGCAAAGACGTCCATGTTACGTCTCAAAAAATCTATTAGCAGGTCAACCCGATCTCCAAAAAAGGAAGAGCCAATGTGTACTCTTCTGTCTGGGTGTTCTTCATCCAAGACCATAGGGGTGAGCTCCTCGACTGGTTCTCCTCCCTCTATGGTGGAGTCATCCCTTGGGATAAGGACCTCAACTTGCAACGCCTTCTGCAGCTTTCTGGTCTTTGTAGAGGAGACATAGCACTCTCTTGCTATTACCTGGTCTCCTCTGACCTCTCTGACTCCATTAGGGGTTGGAAAGTGGAGGATGAGATGATAGGTGAAGGCCACAACTCTTAATGTGTTGAGAGTAGGTTGCCCCAATCTGATGTTATAGGCTAATGGGCAGTTTATTACCAATAAATTGACCATGACTGTGGAGTTTTGAGGTGCTATTTCAGCTATGACAGGTAGGGTGATGGACCCTAGGGGATACACCTTCTCCCCTGAGAACCCAATGAGGGGTGATCTAATAGGCTGTAGTTTTTCCCTGCCCAAGTTAAGTTTGTCATAAGCCTTTATGAATAGGATGTCTGCAGAGCTGTCGCTATCCACCAGGATCCTGCGCACTTAAAAATTGACCACGGTCATGGTGAGCACCAGGGGGTCATCATGGGGGTGCTGGATTCCTTCCAAGTCTTTATTTGAGAAAGATATGACCTCGCTATGACCCTGCTTTGGCGCCTTGAATGGGCGCAACTCGTCGAAGTGTCTCGCCTTTCTGGCATGGGCCTTTACTACAGAGAATGATTCTCTGCCTCTTTTTAGTCCTCCCGAGATGGTGTGGATCTCCCTAATGAGTTGCTGATCTTCTTGATTGTGAGGTGGTCTAGTGGATCCTTCGTTCCATCAAAAGTCTATACGGATGTAATTTTGAACTTTTGAGGGAGGGGATAGTTGGTCACGTCAGGTTTGAAAGGTGTGTCTATACGCCTTACCAGGTAGTCCACTATCACGGGTCCCTGTGCCTTCATGGCGTTGAAGACATCACCTGGTTGATTTTGTACTTTCTTGATTTTCTCATCCCAATGATTTAGGATTTCTCTAGAATGATCATGAAAATGACTCCAATGCTCCATGCTTTGGTTCTCGCCATCATCCTCTTGGAGATGAAAGTCTTCACCATGGGAAGTAGGAAGAGGAGGAGGGGGTGAAAATCCCTCATGATGAGCTCCCCTATGTGGGGCGCCCAATGGGACTCCAAAGAGGGCGCCCAGCCCTACAGGGGAGCATTCGAAACAGGGTTGGTAAGTGGAAGAGCAACCTCCTCCTCTTGTGGTGGATTGTCTTCAGGTTGGTTCATGAATTTGGTAGTGATCGCCATTGGTTTAGCAAATAAAATGCTTAGAAGTGAGAATTTTGTTTTTCCCGCAAATGGCGCCAAACTGATATTGCGCAAAATGGTTTTGCACACCACCTGTCAAGTGATTAAAAATAAATACAGTAATTAAAAGTAAAGAGAGATGGATGAGACAAGATTTATAGCGGTTCGGTCAAATCATGACCTACGTCCACTTTTGAGTGGCTTTGGTCGCTGGGTACTTTATTAGCTCAAAGGCATGAGGAGTAGAGAGTACATACTTTGAGGGAGAGGAGAGAGTCGTACTCAGGTAAAAGTGTGATGCCCCCTAAGTATTGGTGGAGTGTGCAATTTATAGTGGCCTCCTAACAGATTGGGGCTACTTTACAACAACTAAATGACTATTCTAGTGGAGCTTACGACTTCTTCTCCATGGGCGAGGAGGTTGAGTAGCTCTCCATGAGATGCGGTCAAAGATGAGGTGAGAGTGGACTATTTTCTCTGCGGTGCAGGTAAGGCCTCCATGCTATCCCTCTTGATGACGTAGCCAAGTAGAGAGTTTGACTGGTCTTGGATTGTGTTGGGCTTGAAGGATCTTTTACAAGCTTGGGCTCCTTAATTGAGATTGAGCTTTCCTCATAAAATGAGCTATTTGGGATAGACCCACCACTCTTTTTTCTGAAAAAAAAAAAATTTATTTCTGTTTTTGAGAAAAAAAAACTGATTTTGTTTTCTGGGAAAAAAAAACCAGTTTTTTGAATTTTCTAGAAAAAAAGTGTTCGAGAAAAAAAAAATTTGTCCTCTAGAGACTAAGAAAAAAAAATCAGTTTTTTTGAAAAAAAAATTTGTTTTTTGTTTTTCTAGAAAAGAGTTTCTTGAAAAAAAAGTTTTTATTGAATTTTTTTTAGTAATAGAATATCTAAAGGGATTTACAACAATAAAAAAAAAAACACTAGTAGCTACTTGCTTTAATAAAAAAAAATATAGCTACTTGCTTTGGAAAAAAAAATTAAAGTTTCAAGAGCTATTACAATAATTCAAACAGTTTTCTTAATTTCGTTACAAATAGAGTTACAGTTGACATTTAAATTCAATACAAGTTATTTGCATTTCTCTTATTATTTCTTTGCCCTTGAATTCTAAGTAATTCTTCATTCGAACGTTAGTATATATATTATAACATGAGGTAAGTAGATGTTAACTAAAGTTTCAAAATTAGTGGGTACCTAATAGTTATTTGGGGAATGTTAGATCTATCAATGTGTGTCCATATGTTTATTCTATAAATTAAGGACACGTCCATTATTATTGGAGATATTATTTTTGTGATTAATGTGTTTACACTTCATTACATGAACATATACATGTGATATCTAATTACTCTAATATCACATTAGTTAAAGGGACGTTATGTAGATTCATGACACAAAAAACTCTAGACAAGAGAAGATAGTATTTATTAGAAGTATTTACTAGAAGAAAAAAAAAGGAAGAATTTTTTTTTTTAAAATATACATAAAACAAAAAACATAAAGCTTGATTCGTAGAATTCATAACCACAATCACATGAAACTAGAAGGAAGTTACCCAGATAAGGAACCTTCTTGCTGTACTCTTACAACTCATGGTATTCTTTAGCCTCCTAACGTACCATGTTTCTATCTCACATGAACTCCATGAACATGTTTGTAAAAGTTGGATCCACTGAAGTTGATCAAGCTATAGTTTTGAAATTTGTTCTTTTATATTGATCATATAATTTAGTCTAGAGAAATATTTTTTAAAAAAACCACTAAAGTAGTGAACTTAGTTTACTTCAACTTTCTGTTTGGATTAATTAATATATATTAACATTCCATTACAAACAGTGTGATAAAAATCAGCCTATTAATTTTCTCATAGGATAAAATATTGCACTTCTTGCCATGGGCTTATATGAAGCACTGATAACTTTACAATAGAAATTGCGTAAGTGAGTGACACCTGATGGATTATAACATGATTTCATTTGATCGTGTGTGAGATCCTACTCTTTGTGTTATTTATAAGTATTCACATTTGTCTAATGATTGGTTCCATATAAAACTTCGTTATAAAATATTAAAATAAACAAGAAAATTGGTTATGGTTGTGGTAGTGGTGGTGTGGGGCAGTGATGGTGGTGAGGTGGCAATGGTGAAGATGGTGGTAATGGTGATGGTGGTGGGGGCAACAGTGGTGGTGGTGGGGTGGCCGTGATGGTGATTGTGGTGGGGCGGTGGGGGTGGGGGTGGGGGTGGTGTTAATGTGTCATTCCAAATACTATTTTTTTTTTAAATACTTAGGAAAAATTATAAGTTTTAGAAGCAATTTTGAAAAATCACTCCAAACACACTGTGGTAATAAACATAAGAATGAGATGATGATGGTGGTGGGTGGCGGCAGTAGGCGACCGTGGTAACAATCGGTGGTGGGTGGTGGCTATGGTGGTGGTGAGACGGTTTCAAACACTACTTTTTTTTCTTTTTAAGGTACTTATAAGAAGTTATAAGTTTTAAAAACACTTTCAAAAAGTTACATCAAACACACTCTTAGGGATCATATTTTTCCTATTAAAATTGGGGAGTTAATATTAGCTATTAGATTAACTTTAAAGTAAAATTTAACACGATCTCAACCGCGAAAAGTAAAAATTATTTGTTTATCTTTTAAAATTTGAATTATTTTGTATTTTATTATATAGATATGCAAACTGAGATAAAAATATAAGGAAAATGGAGATACAATATTTTATATGTTGACCCTAAATAGGTGTTGCAGCTAATTGGGGGGGGGGGGGGGGGGGGATGGTGAATGGAAAGACATTCAACATGTGGAGGGAAAAGGAACAGTGCATATTTAAGACCACATAAAAATTGTATTATTCAGATAAAATCTGAATACAAGTTGCAAGCGCTTCCACCCGACCAATCCCTTCAACTGTTGCAACTACAGAGAAGAGAAACAGAGAGAATAACTACAAAAAGTCCACCCAGGCCAAATTATTTTGTGTAAAATACTGTAATTTAGATACCTTTATGATGCATTAAACCGTTCTACAATTTGCAATGAACTGAAGTTTGATCTTCTTGAGGGCTGACAGAACATCTTTGATGCAGATCCTCTCCTCTGGTAATTCTACACTGCAATTTAAAGCCAACTCCATGATGGATGATACACACTGGACCTTGGTTTTTAAGTTCGGTTCCTCGGGTCTTATCAAGTTGGCATCTATCACCTGGCTGATTGCATTTGACAGTGACTCATTTATCCAACCCTTCAGACTCAAATCTTCAGCAAACATTTCATCAGTAGGCTTCTTTCTTGAAAACATTTCTATTAACAGAATACCATAGCTGTAAACGTCACACCTTGTAGATATTAATCCTTCCAATCCATACTCTACATCCATTTATCAAAAGAATCAAGATTCTGGTTAGGAAAGTATAACATACCACAGAAAGTATAACATACCACAAAAATTATTACATTTGACCTGATAAAAAAAAGCAAAAAACAAAAACAAAAATTATTAAAAAAAAAAAGGAAAAACACAGAAGAAAGGATAGATGAAAATATAAACTACTAGCCGAAAGCGTCACCTGGTGGAATATACCCAACTGTTCCAAGGGTCGTGGTTTGTACAAGACTCTCTGCCGCACTAAATAACTTTGCAATGCCAAAATCAGTCAAGTGTCCCACCATATCTACATCCAGCAAGACATTGCTGGGCTTCAAATCACAGTGTACCACAGGTGTTGAATAACCATGGTGAAGATATTCCAATGCACATGCCACATCTATCATTATGTCTAATCTCTGTGTAATGTCTAAGTAATAGTTGTGAGAATACAACCACTTTTCGAGACTCCCATTAGGCATGTAATCGAGCACTAAGGCTTTGAAATCAAGATTAGAGCAACTGCTAATGACTTTAGTTAGATTTCGGGGGCGAAGGTTGCGTAATACATCACATTCATTATCAAAACTCTTGAATGCACCTTCCATTTGCATATTGAATACTTTAATGGCAAAAGACGTCCCATCCGCAAGTATCCCTTTGTAAACTGAGCCAGAACTTCCTGTGCCGATTAAGTTGCTTTCACTAAACCCATCAGTTGCCCTTCGAAGTTCATGGTATGAAATTCTTTCATGCACTATTTTGGGTAAAAGATCATTTTGGGCCGGTGTGTGATTCCTTCTTCGACCTCTTATCAGCAATAATACAATGGTCAAAGCAAGAACTAAAGATGCAATCCCCAACGAGGCAAATACAATTAGAAGCACTCTCCTGTTCTTTGATCTATGGTGAGAATTAGAATCACATGGCGGGAATTGCAACCAAGGAGCACCACAAAATGCTTCATTCGACATAAAAGATCCCTTCGTGAAGTTCATGAAAGGACCTCCATTGGGAATCTCCCCTCTTAATCTATTGAAAGAAACATTGAAGTATGTAAGCCGTTGGAGTGCCTCTAACGATTTTGGTATCACGCCAGAGAGATTGTTCTGGGACAGATCCAAGAATTCCAAGCTTATCAGCCCACTGAATGACTCAGGAATAGATCCTTGTAATCTATTGTCGTCTAAAAAGAGTTTAATGACGTTTTGCAAACCACCAACTGTGCTAGGAATATCACCTGAGAACTGATTTGATGAGAGGTCTATAACTATTGCAACCTTTAAACTACCGATTCCTGGGGATAAAGGACCAGTTAAGAAATTTTTGTGTACTTAGATCCTCAAAAGATCTTTGAGGCTCCACAGACTTTCAGGTATGCTGGAAGTTAATCTGTTGGAGCTTAAATGAAGATATCTTAGAGAAGTGATATTCCCTAAGCATGCAGGGATTGAAGCTGAGAGATTATTTCTGCTCAAACCTAAGTAAGTCAAGTTCTTTAGATTGCATAGGTTTTCTGGAATGGATCCTCAAATTCTGTTGTCTTCAAGACTTAACGCCTGAAGCTTCAATAATCCTCTGACTGTGGCCGGAATGAAGCCAGTCAAGTCATTTCCATATAGAATCAAGTATGGCAAATTGCTCAAATTACCAATTTCTGCAGGAATGTCTCCTTTGATTGTACAATTACTTGCGGCAAAATTTTGAAGACTAGTTGAGAAATTCCCAATGGAAACTGAAATGGTGCCATTTAGAGGATTATCAACTACCCATAACACTCTCAAAAATCTACAATTTGTCAGGGAAGTTATGAAGCGCAGTTCTGATTCTGACGATGAAGATGCACAAGTTAAATTGTTCCTTCCCAAGTTTAGAATCTCCAGGAGTTTTAAACTGCCAAGTGAGTTCGGAATTGGGCCACTGAATCTATTGGAAATGAGATCAAGCTTAGTAAGTTTAGAAGCATTGGAAATAGAGTCGGGGATAACTCCAGTAAGAGTATTGGAACCCAAACAAAGTTGTTCTAGATTGGGTAGTCCATGGCCTATATTTGATGGAAGATTTCCAGAAAGGTAATTGTAAACAAAGAGAAATGGCCAGTAGGGTAGATACGTTAAAGAGCGTTGCTGGAATGTGACCTCTTAAACTATTCAAATCCATTTCTAATACTCCCAAATTGCGAAGATTACCGATCTCTTTTGGTATAGCTCCTGCCAAAATGTGAAACCACTACCATAAATTCATTCGTCAAGGAATTCTGCAAAGTTATAAATATATTTAATGGACGATAAGTGTAAGACTACAATACCACGTTGAGTTGTAACTAATCTTTTTCATTTTTAACTTGATCTCCAAAAACTAACCCGTACTTATTTTCTAAATTTTGGTACTATAGTAAACTCGATACCACTTTCTTACCAGATACTAAAAGAGGGGCAAGCAGAATCACTCTAATGCCCCCGACGAAAAAGGACAATAACAAAAGAAAGACAATTAGAAATAGTTTTGTGCCTTTGAATATTAAATCAGATCGGTGAGGTTAAAGCCATTTTGCACAATGTTGTTACAGGTAGAAGATTATATGTTTACCGGTGAGGCCAGCTTGCTCTGCGGTTAATATCTCCATACTAAGATTACCAATCTGTTGGGAAATTTCACCTGTAAAAGAATTTTCAAAATAAGACTGGAAGCATATATATATGGGAACTAACAGTAGAATCTCGATAAAAATAAAAAATAAAAATTAAAAATTAATGTAAGTATTTCAATCACGAAGGCTGTACAACAGTATCCTTACATCACAAAGCATATATCATTTATATTCTTTTCTTTCTCCTATTGAGAAACAATGAAAACTATGGAAATTTTGCATGGAAAATGTAAATGTTCATAGAGACAATGTTGGTACATTTTAAAATTAAACGTATACTTCATTGTATAATTCGGTCTATTTAATTGTTACATACATCCCTCTATATATAATTAACCAAATAAGTAGCAAAATGTTGGAATAATTTGAATTGATTTGACTCAAAAAGGTATACTGCATAATTAAAAATTAACAATTTAAATAACCTATGGTTATTATTGTTGAGCTAATCAATATTAAATGGGCCCTTTTTTTCTTTTCTCTAATAATATGTCGAATAGAAACTCGTATGCTTAATGATTTCTATAGCTAAGGCCTTTTTTTTTTGGTTGAAAAAGAATCAACACTAGATACAAAGTTTTAACCCTCTTTTAGTATGTGTTGCCATTTCCAGGGTGGGGAGTTTTATTTTCCCCATCAAACTATTTGTTAAAATTCCAATAATAAACAACAAATTTTTTTTTTCTTTTTTCTCTTTGTGTCGTATCTAGAGAAGAGCAAATAGAGATCTTTTGATGGGTTATAAATAATGAATTGTTGATACTAATTAATTCAATTTTTAATTTTTTTTGGGTAACGTAACTTTCGAACTTCTTAACTTCTTTTCTCTGAAATATTATATACAATTCAACATATCTTTTGCTTTCAACCCAATCAATAAAAGTCCTTAGCTTAGTTAGGATATTATGTACAAAAAATATGTTAATTTTAAATAATTCAAATTGGGGTCCTATTTTGCTTCAATTGTACGGGTGTGTTTAGATAGGTATTAGGAATGAAGATTGAAAAACATATCCCCTAGCCCAGCTTATACATTTTTTTTCCAATTGGATACACAATTTGAGCTTGGTACTATCACTTAAAATAGTCCATGCCCGCCTGAATAGTAGTTATATTCTCACATACACCTAAATTTAACCCACCTATTTTGTGGGTTAAAGAGTCTGGGTTGGAGTACTATTGAAGGAAAATACATTTTTATCCCTCAGAAGCAAAAGACATGGGTATGGATTAGACTAACTTGGGTTTTTTTTTTGGTAATTTTAATGGTTATACTATCATTCAATACCCCATTCAAACAAAGTGTTATGTATGGAATGAGTGTTAAACTATTACTTTTCAATACTTGAACCAATAAAACGATGAGCTTTAGATTTGTCTTTCTTCTTCAGCTAAATTGGTATGGAATGGCTGTGATTATCCAATCAAGTCAATTGCAATGCCTAATCCAACATCTCCATTGAGTTATTGAAAACTCTTTACATAAGTATGTACCTCTTATGATTGGACTCTCAGAATTACAGGAGCGCAATTGACTAATTTTTCATGTATATAAGCATGGGAGTGTGGCAGATGCCTGAATTAGGCTAATTCACAAATATGCTCACGAAAATTGGAATGGACACAAGGTCGACCCAAACTGTTGAAGTTCATCTCAACAACTAGATTGTTCAGTAAGTAAAAGTACAATGCAGAGCATACCTTCTTGAGGAATAATTATCCTTCTTTTGGTTGGCAAACTCTCTTGATTTATACATTTTTAATAGTACAATAAGTGGAGTAATGTTAGTACATTTTAATATTAAACATATAATTCATTCTATAATTTGGTATTGGTTCATATATCCTTCCATGGCTAGATGCTCAATGCGAATTACTTTATGATACATGAACACTGGGTGGAGCCAAAAAATCATGTCTAGGTGGGTACTAAGCTTTAATTTTTTTTTCTTACAATCGATAAAAATATGATAATAATTTATATTTAATTACTTTCTATTTAATATTTAAAGGTCATTAAACTCAATAGACAAAAACTAGTAAACATAATATATACAAACGACAACAACAAAAAAAAAGACTAATTATATTTTTTTACAAAATATAGACTAATTAAAATCATTTAAAATAGTTCTCGATGAATTTTCATATTTTGAAATCGTTTCATAACAACTTTTTATTCTCTATATACAAAATCATGCTATCAGTTCACTATTTATCACTCATTCGATTATGCAATCAAATGTGCACTCTATAATATATACCGTAGTTAGTAAAATAAATGCCCAAAACATAAGTAAATTAGCAAATATATATATATATATATATATATTAAGTCTTTTTAGTTTTAACCAATTTTTTAACTAGGTCACCAAAATGTTAGATCAAAAAGTATCGTAAACTAACTAGCGTTGTAGCGTTGCCGTTGATTGTTCAAGTTCATTTGATATGCGTACACTAATTGATGTGTCAAAAAAATAGGATGGGCCTAATTGAAAATATTGAAAAAATACTTAAAATACATATAGGTAATTTTAAGAAAAAAAAAATTTGAGGGTGGGCAGCATATGCTGGCTCTGCCCATGCATGTACGAATCTATTTTTGTGTACATGAACATATTTATTTAGACTACTATATACATACATTATAAGTTATTGCATGCATGCTGTTAACGTATACATGTTATATTAGATGCATTCAGGACTCTAAATCTCCCTCATCCCCTATAAATAGGATTTTTAAGTTTGCACTTGCATCTAACACATTGCAACACATCACAATATACTACAGAAAAACACTTAAAAGTTCGAGCTAGAAAAAGGTATTTTTATTGATGAAGTTTTGGGTTCAACCACTTTTTAAAGTTGATTAGAATTGTGAGATGAAATTGTGGACTGCTGTATTTTAGAAGGATAAGTCAAACGAGAAGGTCTGCTAGCACGATTTTAGATTTTTCATCTATAAGGCTTAAATCTCCTTAAAGAGATTGAGCTAATCCAGGCCTAAGCCCGAACTATTTTGGTGTGTAATTTCAGCTATTTGTAATTTGCTTCTCAGTTTTAGGAAATCCCATCAATAGCCAATGATGCAGGAATTTCTGCAAGGGGAACTATGATTTTTGGGGAATGGGGCCGGCAAGCTAAAGTATAAGGTTAGAGATCTATTAGAGAAAAACAATAAACAGCTAATAGCTGGAAGGTTAGGCATAGACCCAACACAAGGTATTAGAATTCAAAACACGAGTGGAAAGGGACGCAACAGTCTTACTTACTGTAAAAAGGGAACTTAAGAAAAAAGTTCCATTTCAGTTTTTTTTTTCTTTTAGTAGCAACAATAGGTACTAATTTATCCAATTGAGATGTGACAAGTTTAACTATGGAAATGAATCTCTCTAGAATGGTATAAGATTGTCTATCATTTATCTCTCTCAAATCCCACTTAAGCAAGAGTCTTACAAATTAGGTATAATCTTTCTTCTTCTTGTTCTTGTACTTCTTCAAAAATTTAGATCTGTTCTAATTTTATCTATACTGTTCATTATGCACCAAAAAAAAGTCATTGAAAGTATTGATTTTTATTTTTACATAGATGGTACTATACCCATTAATCTTGGAAATTCAATCTTAGACTTTTAAGTTAAAATACCTTGAAATTTCTTGAACCCATTAGAAGGAAAGGGTTTGAACATCTCCAAGGCATATCTTAATCTGAATCAAAACCCACATCTTAATCTTCAACATTACATTTTAGGGTGAATTTTACTTTGCACCTTGAAAAATTTTTAGTTTCTGATTTTGTACTTTCAAAGACTAAATTTTTCACATTATACCCTAAACTTATCAAAAGTGTTGTAATGTGACACTTCTGTTAACTTTCTGTAATGTCACATTGCAACACTTTTGATACATTGATTGGTGAAATGCAAAAAATTTAATTTTTAAGGATATAAAGTAAAAAACTTGAAATTTTTCAAGGTACAGGGTGCAAAAAGCCCTACTTTTTAAGGATTTTACTATGCTACAATTTGCTATTAATGAAATTTTTGCAAGTTTTCATCGCAACCAAACCTTGTTATAATGCCAATTAAAGAGAAACGTGAGTAGAGGTGGCAAATGGGTGGGTGGGTTGGTTATGAGTTGGGTTAAATTGGTTTGTATTAAAATAAATCCAATCAATATTTTACTCACGTATTAAATGTGTTATATTAGGTCGGGTTTATAACGGATTGAATTAAATTCATTGACCCATAAAATAATTAAATTCTTAATAGACATACATTAGTACATCAAATACACAGACATTAGTAGTACACCAAAGTACAAACACACACACTAATACGCCAAAACATATAAACTAATACACTAAAAATACACATACTAATCTATACTACTTCTAAATATCAAGATCTAAGAAAAACTTTTGGATGACTATTATATCCTTAAACTATTATATAAACACAACACTACCCTTTAGAACACCGATTAATAATTCTATTAATATTAGGAATTATGCCATTTGTACTCCATTGATAGTAGAAATGTGGGGGTGATTAGACATAATAGCACAATTATGTATTAAACTCAACAGATGCAATATATGCAATCTAATAGGGCATATCTATTAGTTGATGATTATTTTAGTTAATGTTTTTGCTGGCATCATACAATTTGAGGTTATATTTGAGTGGCAGATAACCTACCCGAGTTCCTTCATTAAGGAAAATGTCTTTTGGTTTTACGTAAATAATTGTCATTTTGGTTGTTACAACTCTTCATATCTTTAGTTAATGTTAGTCATTTCAACTCTTTAGATTCTTTTCCCAAATTCAATAACTTTGCATATAGTTTAAAAACTGGCTCCTTATTCTTCCAATGTACTGCTTCAACTTCGTCACATCAACTCCTTTATCACTCATGTCCCTAATATATGGGGAAGGAAGATATTGGATCACTATAACTTTGAACATTACCAGTAC